ACCTGGCAAATGGATAGTGAATTAAAAGCTCTGCGTAGAACGGCCAAATAAGACACATTTCCCCCTCTTGTTAAAAAGCAATTTGGCATTATTCTAAGTCACATTGATTGTAAGTACATGTTCTTCTAGACTTCACAGGAAAACATTCCCAAAATTCTCTCCCTTAATATGCATTTCTGGAACAAAAGTGGGTCTGAATAATTTTTAAAAATCAGTTTACAATTTAGTTATGCCACAAATATTTTATTGCTCCAATGTTATCCATACCATTGAGCATGATCCCTTTTTTTCTCTTACTTTTTTGGTCTCCTTTATAGCAACAAAACCAATTTTGAAAAAAATTCACCACATTTTACATTAAGAATCCATGAAAAATAAGGAAAAATGCCATTGTTCCAATATAAACATAGGCAGGCACCAGAATGGGAGAAAAACGGAATCGAATCCTATGTTGGGTGCCCTTGAGGCACGGAGAGGTTTTGTGCTGAAGTGGCCACGTTTGTGTTGCTCGCTCTGCATTCAGGAGGAGATTGTCAGGATGGCTGCGGTGACCGAGAAACCAAGGCCATCTGAGGAGGCCTTTCCTTTGGTCTTTGGTTCAGATGCTTTAAGAAAGAAAATTTCCTTGGCATGCTTCTATAAATAGAAAGAAGTACACATTACAGAAAAGCAATCTCAGAGAAAATGAGAAGGCTTTTCATATCTTACTGACTCATGACTCTTGTAAAAATTTATTGAATAGATCAAGCTCAGAAAATAAAAAACACAAATATTTCTCCAATCCTTGCCTTAAACAACTCCTCACAAGCACCCTTCCAAGTTGAGTCCCGTGGATTTCCAACAATGCTCTCATTTTCGGGTTTTAAAGTCTAAATCACAAGATTAATCTCATATCCAATTAAAAGCTTCTTTCCTCTGAGCTGATATAGAGGTTTGGGAGCAGAAAGGGAGAAATCAGGAGTCAATTCCATTAATCTGCTATCATGTCATTTTTCTTCCTATTGTTCTTATAAGAGCATCAAGTTAAGAGGGCAGGAGACATTAAAAGAAAGAAGGGCAACATCTTGTTTGATGCTGTCGTAATTTGAACATCAGTACCTCTGTCAGTCCACAGTCCATATTGTCTGTTTCTTATTTTTTAGAACTCTAAAATGATATGTGTACCTTATTCTTCTGTAAGGGAAAAGCACTTATCCGCTGAACACCTTAGCCCACTGTAGAACTTCTATAGCTATTTTTCTACCAAGGCTTCTTGAAGCTAGAATGATCATGGCTGACTTGAGTGGGCCATGTGTAATAAAGCCCAAGAACAAAACTCTTACTTCCCAGGAGGAACACACATTTGTCAGCTGTCAGACCACCTTTGTATTTCTGGATATATACAGTAAGTTGACAGTAAATATTTATTGAATGAGTAAGATCTTTTGTGTTGACAAATACCAGAATTATGAATTATTATTCATTGCCTCATTGTCTTATAACAGTAATAAATGAATTCCTTGCATGTGGAAAACTGTATGATAAAGCTAGAGGTAAAAGACAGAGAAATTTAATAATGAGATAGAACTTATATTTGATGCCAAGAAAGTAACTGAGACAATGGATGGTATAGGAAAAAAAAAGTTACCTTGAAGAGCACTAGTGATGGATTCGTCATTTGTGCATGTAGCGGAGCTGGTACCAGTTCATGAAAGGTAGAGGGAAACTAGGCATACAGGGAACACAGTAAAAGTAAGGCAAGTGGAACCAGCAGATGTACAGAGCATGAATCTTATCTTAGGCATGGATATTTCCTTTGCAAACTCAAACGTCTTATGCACTGGATGCACGGATCCTCAGGGAATCATGAGGGGATATGTTTGCAGCAAACAGGTTTTTGTAGGAGATTTTCAGGACTAAGAGCTAGGCACATGAATCAGTCAGGCACTGGGGTCTTGGATACCACACTCAGAAAGAGGCTAAAACGTACAACTGGAGATTTTAAACCCATGTATTTTGCATAGAACAAAAGGGGGTGAGGAAGAGAGAGTATCATCTCATGAATAATATCTGCAGTAACTAATTAGGATCAGACCCCATGCCCGTGTCACCAGGAACCAACCACTTTTGTCCATTTCCTCAGCATCACAAGACAATCTTTAAGATGAAGGGGCATTGCCTAGAGGGTAAAGGGTCATATCATACATACATTTTCTATTTCACTTTATTACAAAGAAGGCAGTGAAAACACTAAAAGGATTTTAACAGTTTCTGAATTGTATGTGTGTACTAAATATGATGGTGGGAGAGAAGAGGCTCATTTTTCTCTTTTCTATTTATATACATATGACAATAATGGTCCCTGTTTCCCCCACTATCTAAGACTAGAAACTGCAAGACCCTTCTGGATATGGAAACCAATGACAAGTACAATAATCCAAATATCACTGGCTTTTGCGCCAACTGCTCCAGCAGGATCTCAAACCCATGCAATCCACCTCCCCACCAGCCTCCTTCCCAGGAGCCCTGGTCAGGTCCAACAAAGTCAACACATACCTTTTTCTCCCTTTCTTCTGCTCACTGTCATTTGTTACCCTGCTTCCTGATCCTGAGCACATCCATTGGTTTGTACTCCATCTGCAGCTGCAGTTGATCTGCTGGAGTTCAGGTGATGCTGCCATGTAGGGTGCTGTGGCACGTGTCAGTGCAGCTCACCCTCCTTTCTGTGCAATACTAGGTTGAAAAATGTGATCCTTGATTTTTACTTGTATTCATGCCCTCAGTTTTAAGTAAGAATTCAATGTGCAAACAAGTCAGGGTGAGTGATCAGAGGGCAGTTCAGAACATCTATCTCTTTGCAAGAGCCAAGTTGTTCTTCACAATCAAATTTGAGTTACCTGCCTCTGGTTTTTTTTTTTTTTTTTTTTTTTTTCTGTAGGATGATTTACTTTGAGGAGATATTTTCGTCTTCTAGTTGGAGAGCCACAAATTCAGTTTTTCAGACATATTCAATATGTATAAAAGGTAGAAAAAATACATTCTCTACCTCTGACACCAGAATGTTGTAAGAGATAATTGTCTTTAGGAAAAAATACTTTGGTAAGTGTCTGGGATAGGCAGATGGAAGCTGAGAGGAATGACATGGAAGCTGATCCTTGCCAAGATATTTGGGTGTTTGTAAGTGCAGGAAAAGAGAGTGAAGTGAAGAGCGATGCCACAGGAAGAAGGTGAGATTCGGCCTTGAAAGGGTGGAAAGAACCTGCTGCTTTAGGAGATAGACAGCATTTGTAAGAAAACAGTAATGTCTTATAGGTGACTTTCAAATAGATGACTGTGTGGTTCTTGTATTGTTATTCATTTGGAGAGGACTTTGGACAGTCATAGAGCACAAACTAAAGTAGTATAGAAAATCTGAACCAATATCATTCAGATATTATGAAACTATTTTGCGTATAGCAAAAATTAGTCATATATTCTTTCAGGTTCTTATAGTAGGGAGACAATACAACATTTACACATGCAGGTCTGATTTATTTCACTTATGGATATGGTCTCTAGTTGCATCCATTTATCTATAAAAGCTTTGGGTTTATCTTTCTTTATAGCTGAATAATGATCAATTGTATAGAAATATCACACCTTTTCTATCCATTCCTCAGTTGATGAACATTTAGGTTGCTTCCAAGATTTAGCTATGACAAATTGTGCTTATAAACATGGGTGCACATATATCAAAAGGTACAATAGATATTGTGAAAGGGAAAGAAACTGCTCAGCAGAAAAGAATAACTGGGACGAGGAAAAGGTAGGAAAACAGGAAGAAAGAAAGAAAGAAAGAAAGATATATACAAAAGATAGCTAAGATAATTGTACTACTAATTTTTATTGGTTTATTGAGAGGGATGGTTAATACTTAAATATCTGACCAATTTTGCATGTTCATGTCTGGTAATTTGAACAACTACTTTGAAGACAACAATATACAACATAATAACCATTGTTGAGTTTCTATAATCTTGTTTTTTGAGATTCTGTATTGTTTCTAATGTTTACTATTTTTTAATTCTCTTTGAAATAAAAATGTAAAAATTATGCTTCTATTTGGGAATGGGAATACTTCTAGAAATTTTACCCTAATTTGTAGTAAAATGAAGAGGCAATTATCAAGCCACACATTTTGTGTGTTGTGTATTTTTGAGAGAGGGTTTCACTACACAGCGCGGACTTGCCTTGAACTCACCTTGTAGCTCAGGCTGGCCTCAGACTCATAGTGATCCTCCAGCCTCAGCCTTCTGAGTGCTGAGATTATAAGCATACACCACCATACCCAGCTAAATTATATATTATTGACAATCAAATAGTAAATATTTGGAGAGTTTTTAATAAAAGTATAAGTTAGGTATGTGGCCTGTGATTTTGGGAAGGAATGTAATATCTTGGCAGATTAAATTAATGAGAAGTACAAATTTCACTTAAATTTTAAAGGAGGGAGGGCGCGGTATTTGGAAGAGACTCAAATAAGGAATTTGGGTCACTGAATAAGGTTCCAGCATTGTAAGTGCTTGTGAGAGAATACTAACTCAGTGACAAGTTCTTTTTGACAAGAGCTTGTCAGGGAGTGAGTGTAGTGTATGGTCAAGAAATTCTTGTGGAGAAGGCATTCCTATTAGAATGTGAAGTAATCAGTAGCCATGAGAAGGATAGAGTAATGGGTAGATACCAGGATTTTGACAGTTAAGGATAGAATATATTGGAAGTGAGATTCCAGAGTTGGCCAACACTGGGGAGAACAGAGACATCGTGGGAAACCCAGGACCATCCTGGGGATTGTAGAAGAGAAAATAAATGGAACTAAGTAGAGACAACATTGAAGATAGATGGCAGAGGGATGAGCAAGAATGGGGCTTGCATCCATGGTGTATCATTGTCACATGGTAACTGACAAGAGCAGCGCTGGTTATTAGTATTAATTTGTACCAAGGCAAACTCCCATTTTCTCCAGTCTTGCTGTACCTTGTGCCTCAGGCAGACTCTTGGCCCCCACACTTCATCTTTATAGCCTTTTTCAATGTGGGGCTGCTCAGCATCAGGGAAGTGGAATGAATAGAGACCACCCCGTAGATGAGGACTTCGTAGACCCAGGACCATGGTTCTCTTAGAGGTTTGATATGTACAAAGGACAGCACTATAGTCAGGAAGTAAACAGTGAAGCAGATGAAGTAGGTAGCAAGAGACTTCAGGGTTCTGGAGTGGGCTCGCAGGCTAGAGCTGGACTGGCCAGTGTTGTGCTGCTGCATTTGCTCCCAGTGCTGGATGAGAGACACTGTAAGGAAGGTGGTGCAGACCATGAACAGGAGAAATGGGACGGTCATCATGATGATTTTGTTAGCCTTGGAAAAATAGTGCTCAAATATTTTAAGTCTCGCAATCAAAGTGTTGTTTATGGGTAAATGCTCCAGAGGGACTAATTGTATCTGGATGTGATTCCTGATAACCGAAGGTATAATTGCCACACAAGAAATCACCAGCACACCCAGTAATAACCAGGGAACGAACCTCAAAATTCTCCACCTCAGCCAAAAGAAGATGGGATGGGTGATGGATGAGATCTTGACACAGTAGAAGACAGCAAGCAAGCTGGTAAGCCAGAGTGAAAGAACATTAGTGAATTCCCAGATGTTTCCCAACTGCCGTAGCACATAATGATGGTTAAAATACATGCAAAAATTGTACAGCATGGATGTCCACTGCAGAAAGAAACGACAGATGCTTAGGCTGGTGAGAATCATTTCCACAGGCGCTAATCTTTTGACTTGTACCCACTCTCTACCCAGAACTGCAACAGTAAAGCTGCTTTGCGCCATTATTGTGAAGGACTCAAAAACATAGATGATAACAAAAAAGATAGTGAGCTGATGGAGCATCATGCTTCTATTCCAAAGTATGTTTCTAGATAAAGAATTGGACACTCTGTGCCAATCAGTAGGTAGAAAATAAGTTTCTGTTCCAAGCACTGTGATAAAAGAAAGCACTTCTCTCTGGATGCAAATATTCTCCAACTCATTTCTGACTATGTCATTTTCCTACTTACAGGATTTGTTTACGTTTTGCTTAATGGCTTGTCGCTACATCTGGAGGAAGAAAAATATTTTTTGAATGTGGATTCTTGCTCCAAAGGTGATTTGATTATTTCCGTAAGGGCATACATAATAGTGGTGCTTATTTCCTTTTTATCTGTCCAGGATGCCCTTAGTTTATTTCCCCATCTTCTTTAAATGAGATCTTCTTATTTAAATAAAAGGGAGCCACAGGAAAGATAAACCCTTCACTTTGTGTTCATGTCCTGGGAATGCTTCCGTCCTGTGGAGCGCTGTGTCAGTGCTGACCTAGAAAACCTCATGCTACCAGCTTTCTCAGCAGCTAGCTGGGATACCACTATCAAAGTGTGAGGGTAAATAAAAATGATAATGAAGTCTTTCCTCTGAGATTCCACACACAAGACAGCTGCAGTCCAAGATGAGCATCCCTTTCTGATGCAGGCGACCCCCATAATTGCCTACTGAATTCTCCAACACAGAGAAATCAAACTCCAAAGAAATCACTGAACATTCTTCCTTGAAGACAAAGTGTCCACAGATACTGTTTTTCTGCCAGTTCCAGTGCCTTCAGCATATGCTCTGTATATTTTTGGAAATTGTTTTTGTTCTATTAATACCACTGACTTCTTTTTTTCTGCTTTCATAGCTAGTTCTTTTTATCATTCTTCACAGATGAATTGAAAGAGAGCCTTCTTATTACCAGTGAAGCGCTTTACTTCTAAATAGGAGGCATTATTTCATAGCTGTACAGGCAGGCTAGAGAAGAAATGCCCTTTCCTTTGGTTCAGGACAACTATTCCAAATAGCAAGCATCTAATTAGTGATTTCACAAATGAGAGGTGAATTCTAGTAATTATTACATCTTGAGGGGGACAAAGTGAAAGTTGTTGACCCTGTGTATGATACACTCCCAGTCTGTGGACATTTAATCACTCAAAGAAGTAAAAACAAGAGCAAATGAGCATGATGAGAATTCTTGATAATAAAACTACAAAACCTCGGAACCAAAGTGCAAAGGAAAACAATAGCTTTACAACTTGCACTAGGCAACAGCATTAAAATGGGAAAGCATCTGCTTTGCATTCTTAGTAAAATCCAAGAAACAGGAAATAAAAACAATGAGATGATGAACTAGTAGTCTGCAATCAAAAGATTTATTGGAGATGTATCCAGACGTAACAAAGGAAGAAGTATAAAATATTGGTTAGTGAAATATACAGTGACAGCTTATGTTCTGGATATACTACAAACACTACCTTATTTGAAGTAAACTTAGAATAAGTGTGATGCTCTAACCCTTGAAGGGATTCTTGAAGCACAGCTACCATGCTTATGGGCCTTGGGACTAGATACCAGTCCCCACAACTTGACCAGAGTCTGTCTCAAGCAGCTCCTCATGGGTTGGCCTGCAGCTGGAGAGACTCAATATCACTTGAACACAGAGGGCTATTCCTATGAGGCAGTGGCCATTAAATGACTCAGATTTGGGTCAGCAAAATAGCTCCACAGATTAAGCATCTGCTTAGGCAATGCAGGGACTGGAGTTCAATCCCTTGCCTGCAGTGCTTCCCCTGCCCCTGGGGTGTGCTGAGATGGCAATTGAGACTGGGCATGGTGGCCTGCACCTGTAATCCTAGCACTTGGGAGGCTGAGAACCTGTACTAAATACATAATAAATAAATAAATAAATAACCCAGATTTTGTTGTAGGAAACTTAAATGTGGGATGCACAAATTGGTTTAGGAGAGGATGAAAATAGAGAAGTAGATGTTCTCTAAGGTTAAGTTCAAATACTCTCTCTCTCTCTCTCTCTCTCTCTCTCTCTCTCTCTCTCTCTCTCTCTCTC